AGCTAGGTAATCAACAACAACAACAACTTTTCTTTCCCAGGATTAACTACAGAGTGCAATTCGCTCGCCTTTTTTTTCTTCTTCTCTCACTATGACTACGTACAAGCAAACCTCCCGGCAGAAATTACTTGCATTTTAAACGTTATCGCTAATCTGCAATAGAGTGCGTGTTTCTCTAGCAAAGTCATTAAAACAGGCACGGGTCAGGATGCTGAGGCTGCATTCATGATTCTTTATAGTTACAATGTTAGTAAAGTATTTACTAAATTGACTACCACCTACTTCAAGTTAAATTTGCTGACAGATAAACTGAGCATAACCTCTGGCATTTTCAGATGTTTTCTTATGAATAGATATATTTTGCATGTTTTTGCATGCTAGGCCCTTTCCGAAATGCTGATTTGATCTCTGATATAAGGGCTTACTCACCCCCTTGAAGGTACAGAAGAAAGGCAGCAGTAGCTCGCATGTGGGTGAATGAGAGTGTAATGTATAGAAAGCATAAAACTGACTCTTTTCAGATCATTTCAAATTCAAAAGCAGCAAAAGAACACTGAAAATTCTGCACTATTTCTGCACTGGTTAAAAATAATTAAGAAAAGTCCTGCTGAGATTTTTTTAAAGGGAGATATAAAAAGAATATTATTTGCATAGTCACAAATCATGCTAAAATTATTCTTCAGCAAAAAAGACCACTCATTTCACAAGGGCAGTCCAGCTTCAAGAGACTGCACTATCTGTTAGCATCCTATTTTCAAAACAGACATCTCCGGGCAGATTTGTTACAGTTTTGTAGATGCTAATGTGTAAACAGATTGTAAAATTATTTGGGGGCCTATAATAGGATTTAATGCGTTTAAGAGGTAGTCTTATACCTCTTTAACAAAGAGGCTTACAATACGGTAAGAATGTATCACAAAAAATATAATGCTTTTAACAGATAAATCCTCTTGGCAAAGGCTGTAATCTTTCAAACTTAATTGGTGAACTCATTAACGAACAACTGCCACTACAAGAAGAAAGACTATTGTCAGCGACTTATCGGGCAGTGAGATAACAAACTTAATTATATTGTTTTTAGTGGATTTACATTTGCTTCCTTAGGACACTAGATTTTCCAAACAGTATTTCCTTGGCTGTATACCATTTTCTTTTCGCCTATAAGAGGAAGGCAAACGTATCTGCAGCAAAGAAGGGAAGACGAAAACCCAAACTGTCGCTGCTTTGAACTAAGCATAACACAGTACTAAAACTTCTGTCTTTATTATCTACTTGTAAAAAGTTATAAGCCTGTAAACTAGTTAATTTATGAGCCATGTTAATCATTTGTTCACATTTGATCTGAGGTTTAGCAAACACGGTTTCCTGGGACATGGGAGGATAATTTGCAGGTCCGGCGTGGCTCCTGAGGGGGCACTAACTAATCTGACACCGAAACATGACATTGATGGCAGGCACACACTAATGACCGCGCCGCTAGATGCTCCTGTCATCCTGTCGTGGCAGTGAAAAGCAACTTTCTTCTTACTGCCAAAAAAGTGCAGAGTGGTCAGACTAATTATTCAGACATGCACTGTAATGAGAATCTGAGTGCTCCTTCCCAGCGCACCAACCGCTCGCTAAGGCCCCATTTGTCTGATACGGTGCCTGATTAGAATTTGTTTCTTGAATAGTAAAACCACAGCTTAAAATACAGCGGAAAGGATAAACAGCCTTTTATTCTGCATAAAACTCCAAAAGTGGCCATTTTGGTTTCAAGCTTTTTTTTTTTTTTTTTGTCATTTATTTACACCACAAGAACAGAAAATTGGATTAATTTTTAATAGTACTTCTTAACATATACATCTTCATTGAGTTGTACTGTTGGAATCTGTCAGGACATAAATCCTGAAGACAAAGAGTGGCTCAGAAGGTATTTTATTTTCCTTCTTTTAGGAGAAATGACATTTGCTAGAACAGAAATTCGAACCAGACAAATCATAGGTTGAAAAAAGTGCCTGTCATTCTTTCTAAATGGTATTGTTAGGCCAACTGATTCCTCAGCATGAGCTCTGAAAGGATGTATGAGCTTTACACATCACAGAGTGGTTTGGATGGAGAAATAGAAGCAAGAAAAAAAAAAAAAGAGTAAGAAAAGTTGAATGATGTTTCCTAAATTCTACATTTATTCTTCACTGTGGGTTCTAATCCAGCACAGACAACAAGGTGTACCACAGCTTTGTACCTGTGTTAGCCTTACAAATCTGTAATTTGCAATTTGCCATACCGCAAAGCAAAAAGAGAGCAACGGAACCAACAGGGTTACATAAGCTACACATACAGGCTGAAGATACGTTAGCACCCTGTAAAGGAGCCCATATTTCTAAGGGTAACACTCAGCTCTTTCTGAAAAGCAAGCCCTTCTAAGAGCGTTTCAAGTAGGCCACCCAAAGTCTCACACACGCTACTGAGTCATTTAGAAAAACGTAATAAACTCGAAAGTGTTACACACAAAGGTGAAGGAGACACGCGCTGCAGTACCACCCCAGGACAGCTTCCACCTTTCCTGGCTAACAGCTCACACGAGCTCTGCAGGAATTCAGCCGGCCATCACAGCTCGTGCGCTGCAGTCCAAGTGCTGGAAATGGGTGAAGGACGGTGGGCGCCGCACTGCAGCCCTGACCCAGCTGCTCTGGCTGCTGCGCTCCTGCCAGCAGCTCACCGCAGAGCTCACTTGCACACAAAGACCTGTGTTAAGAGTGGCTGGATTTACGCGGCCCTCAGTTCTTGTGCTGGTTGGCTGCCCTTTGTCAGCAACCTGCAGCATCTGGAGCAGGTTGGAACTGCTAGGCCCTGAAGCAGGGACCCTAGTGAGAACAGGCCTGCTCCTTCCCCAAATCCAGTGGGCTGCATAGCACCAGGCACCTTTTGCAGCCCCAGATATCCCAAATACCCATTTCCAAGCGTAGTGCCACAAATCTGTTACCACATGGCGCAACTTCCGAGATGAAAGTGAAAGCACGTGTTTTGTGAGCCAAAGCAATACAACGTAAATACTGGGTACACGCTGTTACATGCCACTTTGCAGTGCAACATGCGAAGGGCACATGAATCATTAACGAGAGAACAACTCTGGCACCTACCCCAGAAATACCTCCATCAGCACTGAGCAGGAAAGAAGAGATCAAAAAGAGATCCCAGAATCATAAACGGAGGCTCAGCTCCTGCAGAAAGATACGCTTAGCAGCATTCATCTCTTTGGAAAATAGAGGCGCTGTATCCAAGATACGGCACCGCTAACATTTTCCACATGGCTGGGGATGGATTGGTGAGTGGCCTTCTCCTAAACAACATCATCTATACGTGCCAGCTGTTGGAAAAATGAAGACACGATGCATTTTGCACTCTGTTCTCGTAAACCAAAGGTATTAATTCAGACAGACGAAGGGGAGAGAGGCACCGAGTTTATTTCAAAGCAGGTTTCGCCACGCTTGGCCACGTCATGTGGCCGTGCTGCAGCAGCCTCATCGCCCAGCTGGAGAGTGAGGAAGGACCCTTCTGTATCTAGCCTGACTGGGCCAGCCATAGCAGCGACAACTAAAAACTCAAATGTCCTTCTGTCAGTTTAACTGTTAGCTTGCAATGGATTCGGTTGTACTTCCCATTTGGGGCAGGTTCTCCCCAAGGGCTGACTAAGAAATGTTGGGCAAGAGGAAGCAGCAACCACCAAATAACATTAAAAAAGGGAAAAAAAAATAAGTAATCTCACTGCCAGCTTCTGAAGAGGAGGCAGGATCTCTCTTGCCACCCCCAGGGTGTGCAGTTGGAAGACAGCTGCATCACAGTCCCACTGCTGAAAGCGGGGGACCCTGCTGCTGGAAAGAAGCTGGGGTGATGGGAAACCCATCTGGGCAGCCAGAAGCACCAGTGAGGGCATCCCATCCTCTCCCCCATTCCTTTGCCTCCCAGGCTGCCTCACAGAAATGTGAAGCACAAAGGATGCCTGTTCCTAGGGAGTAAGAACAGGGGAGAACAATGCTCCACCGGGACTCTTAAACACTCAAAATGTAAACCTGTTCTGAGCTCATCTCTTAGGAACCTACAGCAGTTTGATCACAAATGCCATTTAGCTAATTCATAGATAGAATATGAATTTAGTTATTCAAGAATAAGTAAAACTTGCTGTTTTCTTCCTTTGCTGGACACAAAGAAGTGCTCCTTCTGATGTGGCCCAGACCAGACAAAAATCTACGTAGGAAATTACTCAGAAGACTGGCTTCAGGCTAAGCATAAATCACTACATAAACTAAAATAAGAGATGATTCCACTGCGTTGATCCACACCGTCAGTAATCACCATAGCCTTCTGCTGTGCTTCAGGGGACTCCAGCATACCAGAAAACACAAACAAAAGCTTCTAAATCTCCATTTGCCACCTTTTCTCATCCTTGTGGCACTGTGAGACAAAAGATGCAAAATACACTTAAACTTGGACTAAAGGTATTGATTCCTCCACGTTCAAGAGGATCCAGAATTACACAGAAAGGTCTTTCTTGCCTGACCCAAATCCTCTGCCCTCTGTTTCACCATGGGCAGGCTGCAGTCCTGTGAGGTGCTGAATCCAGAGGCACCTGGTTGCCAGCCCAGGAGAAGCAGCACAGAATACAGGCTGGCTTCTGTCTTCGCCACAAACCTGTCTCTTTCTCTTCTAAAATACAAGATGGGTGTGTGTGTGTGTGTGAGACATTGCCCTCAGTCTTCTGGGATTCTGTTTGTTTGTTTTTAAGTATTTTAGGAAGTTATGCTTCCATGTAACGTACGAAGGTGATTTGATGTGGTAATTACCTATTACATTTGACAAGGTAATTAATGTGGCAAAATACCACTGTACAATGTGTAAACTTAGTTTGCTATCATCAAAACACGTCTGCTTAGGAAACTGTTCTGTCTGGAGAAAAAAAAGAAAAGATGGAAAACTCCCAATTATGCATATTCTCTCATCTAGAAAACATAAAGACTGACCTTCAGCTTCAAATATGTTCTGGACCAAACAGGCATTCTCTGGACAGAGAACTCTAAAAACAAGTGAAAAAAAAAAAAAAGTTAGCAACACCTTCCAGGAGCAGTACAGAATTTCACTGAGATCTTTAGCATCTCAGATAGAAATGCCTGAGACTTCAATGCCAATGGTTTCTTCACAGCTCAAGAATACTATATCCTCAAAAACAGTTCTCTTTTCAGAAATTCCCCTCCAATTATCAGGTATCAACTCAGAATGAAGGGAAATGAAAATCAGCATATTGCTGAAAAGGTGCACAGAAATCTCCAGTCAATCACATTAAATGCTCTGATGACTTTGTCTCCATCCAAGCCATCCAAGCTTGCAATGACATGAAGGAGAAGTCAAAAGAGATGTGCTGAGCTAACTATAAAGTAACAGAAACAAAGGAAATACTGTAAATGATACTAGTATGAACAAGTTAAATATTCTTAAGTACAGCCTACAATCAATGTGCGTGGACCTATGGAAAACAGAAACACCTCCTTGACTGAAGCACCCAAAATAAAATCAAAAACCTTCAGCCGCATACAGAGAATCTTCCCTGAGCTTCACCCAGCAAGATTAATGCCTACTTCCAGATCTGATTTCCACTTCTGCTGTTTATCTGCTGAAATGTCCTGAGCAGTTTATGGTTTGAAATAATCTTGAACACGATGTAAATCTCTCTGCACAGAGACCAGCAAATAAGAAAACAACGCAAACTTCCAGATACCAAACCCAAGTGATTCAGAAGCAAAGGCATCCAATCTGCACTGCCATATTATTATAAATTCATTATTCTTCTTTGGGACAACATCCTCCGTTACCTTTTAACAAGAAAACCCAGAATCTAGTCTGAAATCCTTATTGCCAAAGCAGCCCTTGGAAACACAGCAAAGACCCACTGGGGAGGCATTTTTAGCAGTTCTGTCTTTGCACTGGAGGCACTGTCTCCACAGTAAGCGCCAGACACCAGAAAAACTTGAATCTACCAAGTCAGTATGAAAGACTGATGTGTGGCTGGCAGGACCGAAACCGCTCCCTCCATCCCTGGACACAGCAGGGCACCACGGGCTCGCTGTCTGGCTCCTGGGCACAGCACGCACCACGAGCAGAAGCACAGCTCCACCAGTACAGCCCACTGCACCCAGGGCCCCTCCTTGCCCGCTCTCCCTCCCCTGCCCGGCTCCCGGACCCAAGCGAGGTGCCTGCCAGGAGCAACGTGAGCCCAGCTCTTTTCACACCCAAGCATGAAGTGGCAGACAGGAGGAAAACCTCTCCTTTCCACAAGTTCTTCTGTTACTAATAGTCTTGATTTTATTACACAGAGGTGAGAAACAAAACCCAGCATTTGACTGAACTGGAAAAAAAGAAAAAAGTTAAAGAAAAGAGTGCTTTCTGTGAGGTATGCTCCTCTGAACGATTCAACAGGCTGCAAAGCTTTGGTTCTTGGTTGAACAGAGCAGCTGCCAGCCTCGTGCTTGGCCAGGGCAAGTTCTCCAGCTCTGTAGCACTGGATGCAGGAACGAGGGGCCAGAATGACATGAGCCAGATGTCAGCCCATCTCCCCACTGCAGGAGGAAGAACCGCCTGGTACCAGCAGGACACCCAGAACAACCTCACTGCTGAACTTAAGCTTCCCAACACAGAAGTACTGGTCCTGCATCTATCACGCGTCGAACCTGCTGCACATCGCTGCCAATGGCTGGTGCAGCTGACCCAGCCCTGCTGGGCAAGCACCCCACGGCTGTCAGGAGCTGGCTGACCTACGGGTCCCACACAGCCTTAAGAGCAGCTTGGAAAAACTTTTGGCTTTGCAAGACTTAAAAAAAATAAAATTAAGTGAAATGCATTCAGGTGTGAGGGCAAGGAAAAAAAGAGTACCTACACAAATCTAAAAAATGAGTACTGCTTTCTCATTAAATACTGAGACCTCCCTTTCACAAACCCCATCTTGTACACACAGGGAAGCAGTCTGCACTCTCTCCTTCCTAAATATTTTCACTCACTGTTTAAAAAAAAAAAAAAAAAAAAGACAAAAGAGAAACCCCACGCTTGAATCTATCAGCAACACTTTAAGGGTCACGTAGCACAATCCTGGAAAGTGACCGAGGAGTTCAGGGAGCTCCACAACACTTCGTATTTTACCACAGGAGTCTCTCTTATAATGAATGGAACTGAAAACAAAAATAATTCCTTACATTTTTTCAAAAGGGTAAAAAATGCTTCAAAATCAGAAGTTGTACGTTGGGATTTTTCTTTTTCTTTTTAGCGTTTTAATTATTCATTGGGTATGGCATTATTTTACTGTATGAAATGTCTGATGCACAAAAAAGCCTATTCTTCTAGAAGCATAATTTCAACCTCAGTTCAAGCATATTCTTCTTGGCAGTAGCTAAAGAGTTTTGCTAAATCATAGCAAAATGTATTTTCAAGCAATGAGAAAATTCAGCATTGCACCTCTCTCATTGCTCCCCTCCTGAGCTTTAACTATGCTGTTTTCATACAATTAATTATTTAGGTGGTTCCAGGAACAATATATGGTTACTGCCACAGAGCTGCACAGACCTCAGCTGAGCAGCCATACAATTCACTGCTGTCTCGTTCTGCCCAGGACTTGTGCTGGCTGAGGAGAGAAATTTAGCTGGAGCTCAAAACTTGCTTAAACTTAGCGATTCAGCACTTCAGTGTTATTTTTCTAGGACGTAACTAGCAATAAAAGATTGCCATAAATACGTTCTCCCTATATTCATGCACTGCGTAAATACACTTTAATGGCAGTAATTGAAATCTGAATGGGATGCCAACACCTCAGGCAGACTGACGCGACATTTAATTTATACAATTAAACACGAGGGTGGGGAAGCACAAAACAAACAATGTTTGTTAGTTGCATGCTTTACATCAGACCTCTTTTCCCCTTTTACCTGTCCTTGCTCTGGTCTGGCTGGGCAGCAGATGGCACGAGGCAGAGGACAGCCCTGGTGCGGCCGGCATCACAGCAGCGGGTGGGAGCCCACCACCAACTTCTCCAGATCAACAGGAGCAGAACAGGCAGCAGGCCACCAGCCCCCAGAGAGCTGCTGAGGCACCCACGTGGAGCTCTGCAGCAGCTTCACGCACCCCTTCAAGGATTCACAGGATGAACCCGAGGGCAAAAAGCCATCTTAAACTACACGGACTTGCTCACCAGCCCTCCAAATGCAAGGCAACGCTTCAGCTCCCTTCACCTGATGGGCTCTGGACTGGGACCCACTTAACTTGGCGTCTGTGCTGACTGAAAGGTTACATTCTGCCAATGGAATTAAACATGGAAGAAGCCATGTACGTACAAAGCCACCTACACCTAAAACATAGTTTAAGCTCCCACAGAACTGAACAAGTACTTTTTCTGCCGTGACTAACCCTCTCGTACAGATCAAGCAGGGAGAGGTACTGCAGCCTGGCATTCTAAAGTTGAGCACGGATTCAGATCTCTCATCCCACTGTGAACATCCCACCTTCACACAGGCTACTCTGCTATCTCTTCAGTCAATGTTTGTGTTCCTATGTGCATACAGCTTCATTAGAGCACACAAAGAACCTCTGTACCTCAAGAATACATCTTTTAAGAAAAAGTGACCAAGAAGAGCACCTGTCACTATCAGAATTACAAGGACTGCTGTAGTAGGCAGGTGGAAAATCAAGGGAGAACATTTTCAGGCCACTGTTTTGCACTTTGTCATAGAGAAAATGCTGCCCTTCATACAAAAACTTCGTGAAAGGAAGGCAGAAAGCACGTGTGCATGCATGTACAAGTGCACATAAGCAAATACACATATTAGCAATGTGCAATTTTTTAATGCATATCAAAACCACTCAATTAGGGGTTTTCCCACTTTCTGAATCTGCATCACAGCCTTACATCAGCTCTTAACACCAAAAACAGGATACAAAGCAGGTACCTCTGGTAGTAGTGCTGCAGCGCTGGAGAAAGCAGGTGCAATTTCTCAGCACACAGACAACCACTGCAGTATGAAATGCGCACACAGTGATGGGCAAGGTGGGACAGGAGGTGAACACAGTAACTCCAAGGCAAAACATGTGGACAGCTGATGAAACTCGGCTCATAGCACCGATGCAATGAGTCGAACCAAATGTCAGTTCACCTTGTATGACAGCGCAGAACAATTCCATCTTTGGATACGAAATACTAAGAGGGGATCAGACAAGCTTCATCAACAGCAAAACCTACCCACCTTTCCCAGGGAGGATTACAGTGCAGGGCTCTTGCAGGACACAGTGGGACCTGCAGTTAAAGGAAGCCCTGCCTGAGCTCATGAAGGCTGTGTGCTGCCATCGGTGAGCACTAAAATCCAGCCATCCTCCACAGGAAGCCCACCTAATGACAGCCCAACAGCAGGCACAGCGCTGGGGACAGGGGAGCTGTGTCTCACCCAGGGCACCCAACACATTGCCTTGTGTTGTAAGCTGGATGAGCCCTGATCACCACGAAGGAGCTGATCCCATTCAAAGAGCTCTTGCTTATCCTCTAGAGAATGTTTCTGCCTCGTTATTGAGGAAGTTTATCATATATCTGACCTCACAGACCAGGCATCGCCAGTAAGCAACAACAAAGACAAATAAATTAAACAGAATAAAAATAGAATATCTCAACTTTACCCTTCAGTTTACCACAAGGCACCTTTAATCTATTATTTTTAGTTCTACCTCCAGTTGTGCCATAAATATGTATTTACAGCACATGATTTTTCCTTTGGGATTATTTCTGCTCTTGTATCTTTTGCAGAAAATGAAACCTCATCTCAGTTAATCCTCATCATAAAAACATGATCAGTTTTATTACCATTAACTGCATTCTAATCCTGTTCAGATAATTTATCAGCATTTCTGGTTTTCAAAAACACAAAAAGATGCAATCTAGTTTTTTACCATTAGCATCATTTTTAAAGTCATTTTATATTTTATCTTACAAGGTGATTGACTTGCTTATTTAAAACATGCATGAGATTTTTTCCTTTTTCCCTCCTTCCC